ACACACACACACACACACATATATGCTATTTATTTATTTATTTATTATTACTATAAGAAAAAGGATAATTCTAAGGCGATAAAGCATTCAATACATCGTCGTAGTACAACTGCCAAGTGCTAATCATTCTAACAAATAAATCTTCATAATTACGACACTTCTTAGAAGTTGATGAACGGCTTACCTGCGTCTATGCATGCGACTTAAGTGAGTTTAACTCTATCATAAATATGCAGTAGCTTCGCCATGGAAAGGCTTGCGCGTCCCATTTATAAAGCGGTAATAGAATATTTACAATTGTTTCGCGCCTTACGCATAAATTATCAAACACATATTTATAAATAAAAAAAAATCTCCTCTCCAAATTTCAAACACTATATAACACATTTTACATTTATTTCAATTAAGAGCCATTCCGGAAACAATATCGTGATAATATCGTCGCCAAAAGTACATTTCATTAAAGTTTCTAATAAAAGTAATAACATGTGATCGTGCAAATAATTACTTAATCCTTTCGCTACAGCAGATCTGACCGAAAAACGACGAAACGATAAGGCCGTGTAGGCCGCCAGCAGCACGCATTAAATGAAATTACATTTTTAAGTTACACTATAACTTTTAGTTTACTTTATTAATTTTCGGATAAAGAACAAAATGCAATTTATACAAAAAATTTACTTTAACAAATCTGTATATAAATTTAATGTTTAGTAATATACAACTATATATATATATATGTATAGAGAGAGAAAGAGAAAGTGAGTCGGCGATAGTATTTACGATTTTCGTTTCACGAAAAAGTAGCGAAAGGGTTAATAACAAAGGCCGAGCAAGAGAAGTGTATTCTTACAGAATATATACTCAACCAGAAATATTTCAGAAACGCGCGCAAATATTTTTACCAATACAAATTACAAGCATAAAAAAAAAATAAAATAAAACAAAATAAATAACAGTAACGAGAGTAAGACTTTTCGAACGGTCTTTTTTCTATTAACTGATTCGATCCTCGGGGGTTAAATTCAGTGAACTCTTCCGCAAACCTGAGAGTCGATGCCGCCGAGGTATGGAAATCCGCTCTTTGCCTCGCTCGGACTGTGCGGATTTACGTGCGGCGCCATCCCCGTGGAGACTGGCACCCC